TCCTGGGACAGTTAGAACCCGAAAAGGCACTCGATATAGTGTAGAATAGCAAGATAGGTGGAGGAATACCTAAGGACTACATTTTGCACGAATTTCTTATTAATTTCCTCCATATTTTAATGTCAAAATGATGTAGGGATATGGAAGAGATAAGTATATGGTTAGATGAAAAACATGTGTACGGTCGAATGCAAAACACGTATACGGTTGGATTAAAAACATGTGGCTTGATGATGTAAGCATGATATAAGCAAGATGAGGTAAGCATGATGTGATAAGGACACTTTTCACCACAAGACAAAGAGGAAAAATGGATGGTTAAGATTAAGCCACCTATTTACAAGATCAAGGGCCAAGATTCAATCTTGTTTTCTATAAATACCCTCCCCTCCCCTCCCCTTATTTCGTCCAAGCCTATGACAAACCATGAAAAAACTCTTGCAAAATAAATTCTAGAGAGAGAAAGAAGAAGGGAAGAGAAAGGCCAAGTGATTCTGGATAAGATCAAGCTCTAAAACAAGGTATGTTCATGGTTTTTGACATAGTTTTCACTACCCTTGTTGTTGTTGAGCTTGGTTATGGATTTTAATGGTTTTTGGGAGCTTGAAACCCTAAGGAGGTATGTTGCAATAAATTGTTAAGTGTAAGAGAAGATGAAATTGATGTTTGAATAATATTTAAAGGCTTGAAAGTAACAAGAATAAAGTGGTTTTATATTGAAATTAGTTAAATTTCATGATTCTGTAACTTGAGGAGACTGTTTCGGCAAGCTGAATTCTGTGCCTTAGGGTTGGATTTTGATTATTTTGATGCTTCTAATGAGTTTAGAATGAAAAATTGTGTAGATTAAAGGTGAGAAAATAAGTTTAGAAGCATTAGAATTAAAAATAAAAATTTTGGACCCTATATGCATATTGTTTGGCCAATTGGAATTCAAAGGGAAGGAGTTAGATTTTGATAATTCCAAGCTCATATTTGGATTGCTCATGAAAAATTGAGTAGAAAATGACCAAGAGAATGATTTTAAAGGCTATGAAAAAGAAAGTAAATTAAGGTTAAAAAGTAACAAGTTTAAGAGTTAAGATAGTTAATGGTTTTTATCAGTTATTATTGTGTATTGTGAAATTAGGGCCATGAGACACCAAGGAAGAGGAATGGTAAGATTGTTCAAGCAATCTTGGTGGTTGGAAAGTTAAAAGAGTAAGAGGAAAGTTTAAGGATAAAAGGTAGTGAACTTATCTTTCTTGTGTCCTTGATGTGTATACTTGTGTGTTGATGTGTATTATATTGTTTGATGATGATATGAGATGCTAATGCCAGCATGATGCTCTGTTTCATTGATATTTTTCGTGGCCATACATGTTAATGTGAAACGTTGAGCATGATAATATGTTATAAGTAAACATGAGTTAGATCAAGTAAGTATATCATACACTTGCATCCATCTTGCATACATAATAGTAATATTTGCTACTGAGATTCTCCCGAATCTCACTCTCCCTTAACCAACCATGATAGATGATAATGATCAAGCAAATGATGTATGAAGTGAAAGTAAGGAAAGATGAAAAGAATTGAGGAAATTTATTGGATTATATTGTATAATTTGTATGTTAATGTATGATATAAACATGCCATTAATGTTGTATAATGATAAATAATGATGATGGCATGTATAATTGACTATGATAATGTATAGGAATAGTTTATAGATTAATGAAATGAGATTATGCATGGAAAGAATTAATCATGAATTGTTAATACAAGTTAGGAAGATAAATCATCCCTAAAGGAGCCAAGAAATAGTGATAGAGTAGAAATGAAGCAAATGGTTGATTCTGTTAGTGAAATTTGACATGATTAAAGTACACACCCTAATTTTAAAAACAAGTGGTAGATCACCTAAAATGTATGTGTTTACTAAGAGTTATGCTTAATCAAAATTAGGGTAAAAAAACCGAAAAGTACAGTTTTGACCAAATAAATAGCAAACTTTAACGAATAAACTGTACAAATTGGTTGAGTCTAGGTTTTATATTTTTTCCTTATAGAGAACTGAAAGAGTTTCAAATAGAATTTTGAACCACCTCAATACAATTTTTCTATAATTAGTCATGAATTTTCAAAGTTGGACAAAAAATCTGAAATTTTCCCAGTGAACAGCAACCCGAGAAACAACCTTTAAATTTTAATCTACAGGCTTGTTTCATGATCCGCTTGAACTATAATGCTTTTGAACGTGGACTAAAAGGAGTTTAAGGAATGATGTTTCATAAATATCCTCCTATGTATGCTTTTCGAGCATATCAATTATGGATTTATGAATTTTATATACTCAATATGTTTTGAAATGCGTGTTCATTGGGCTTTTAGTATTTTGACTGTTTCTTTCATCCTTATTCTTTTTATTTTATTTAGCATTAATGTGCATGTAGCACCCAGAAGTATTTTTTCAGGTGCATCTAGTATCATAAAATATTTTTTAGTGCATGTAAGACCCCGAAGTATTTTTTAGGTAAGTCTAGCATCCTGAAGTATTATTTTTTTTGTCTTGGTATTTGATGCACAGAAAAATACCATTGGTGCTAGATGCGCCTAAAAAAAAAAAATTTACAGTGCTGGACGCTACTAAAAAATTGATTCAGGGTGTTAGATGCATTATAAAATATTTTAAGGAGCTGGATTCACTCGAGAAAATATTTCGGGGTTTGGATACACCTTGGCCTTTTTATTTGTTAATTGCTTTTGTAACTCATTGATCAATTTGTAATTTCTCATTTTTTAGGACAAGTTCTTATTGGGTATCACTTAGTAAGTTTTATTGTTATTGTTGTATTTATTGTCTTTAACTAACTTTTTTTCCGTCTCTCCATGTACCCCAGTTGTCGAGGCTAAGATATTTTATTCAATTTATTTTTCACACTTTTTCCCCTTCATTTACCATGGCATTGACAATAGATGCTTTTGATCATAGCCCCATCTCGGTGAACACAGAAAAATGACTTCCCTTTATTAAAAATTCCTATACTTGAATCATTCTGATACAACTTCAAGAGATTTGATGGGCCATCCATCCTTTTAGTTGAAACCTGTTTCTTTTACCTCTGCTGAACACGCAGATCTTCGTACGTTCTATCATTTTTACCCTCTTGTCTTTGTTCTTTTGGTCATTTTGCATCGGAGAGAAGAATTGGATCAGTGTTAAGGATTGAAAGTTGGAGAGATCAGAGACAATGGGATTTTGCCCAGGAAAGAGATATGAAGGAGGCCTAATGCAGTAAGTTGGGCGAGTGAACCATAGTTGCCGCGGCGAGTTTCAAGGTGATTTCAGTGACGTAGGAGTGAGGTAATTGCAAATGTGGAGTTGAGTTGGAATAGTTTCGCCCAGGTGGAGCTGTGTTGCGGGGAATTTTTGTCATATAGGGTGACTCACAAGTGAGCTATAAATGACAAGGATAATAATATAAAAAAGTAAAAGAAAAAGGGATTAAGTCATAAACAAATAAGAAATTAAGGAATTGAACTGTACTAAGTTACAGTTAGAAAACTAAATTACAAGTGAGTTAAAAATTAAAGAAATAAAAAAATTAAATTTTCCTTTTCCCTACTATTTCTATTGGTAACCTGCGAACCGTCATGCTTATGCAAGTCATGGTAGTTCACCCTTTAAGTGCTTTACATTTTGTGGTGAAAAATTGTTTTGCATTTTTTTTTATCAAGTGGTATTACATAAATTAATTTATAAATCTTGAAGAATTAATGCAAAAATTATGCAAATTCATCAGTAAATCTACGAAGTTATCTTCTAAATTTAAAATGTAAATATTAAATATCAATATTTTAATACAAGTATTAAAATAAAAATGTTATTATGCCTGAATAATTAGCATTAGCCAGCCATTAATCAATAGCCCATCAATATTGGCTGGGGATTGGTGAACTGCTATGGCAATTAGCACTGCGTTTTGCTCGACGGATGAAAAGGAAGGGGGAGGGCAGTTATAAACGGGAGGGGATGGAGGGGGAAGGGAGGGAAAAAAGAGAAGAGGGATTTTAATGATCTCTTGTTTAGATTGAGTAGAGGGGAGGGAAGGAAGGAATTTTAATGATATCTTATTTTGTTCTAATAAAAAATTGACTATTTTAACCTTATAAAATTTAAATGAATTTTCTCACTTTTTTTATTTTATCAAGACATAACTATATATATAATGTAATTCATCAATTTTGACTTACAAGACACAATCACTTACGTATAAGATATCAAGATAAAAAGTCATAAGTGATGGATTTCAATCAAAGAAAAGACTTTGAAGATGAAAGAAAATATTGACGGCCTCTTAGAATTAAAAGAGATGAAAAAAAAAAAGTTCAACAATACTTACTAATTTTGGAAACAACTATCTTTTGCTAGATGTTCAAAAGAACTCTCTTATGTAGAAATGTTTATGACTGATTAGGGGTTAACAAATTAAAAGGGTATATAAAAAAATAAAGTATTTTAGTTAGGCTAATTTTAAAATTTAAAATTTTATCTCTCATCTCCCCTTCAAAAGACCCCACTTTTGGAAGGGAGGCTAGAAGAGGAGAGAAGAGGAGAAGAGCTCTTACTCTCTTTAAAAAATATTTTAACTAAACAAGGAGAGGGGAGCAACTCCCCTCCCTTCCTAAAAAATTGCACCAACCAATGAGGGGGAGGAGAGCAATCTCTCTCTCCTCCCTTCTAAAAATCCCATACTAAACATAGTGTTTCTATATATATTTATAAATTATTCTTATATCTCTCTTCTTTAAATAAAAATAAAATTAAAAAATAAACATTAAATATGCTACAAATAATTTATATCTTGCTGGAAATTGAAAGACAAATGTTTCATTCCACTAATAAAATTAATTACAATTAAATCTTATTTTAAAAAAATTAAATAGGTCCCAAATAGCAAGGCTCAGAGCGAACCCCTTCCGTCTCTTCCAATATGTCAGAGGGAAAACTGCCCAAAACCTTGTGACAACGATAAACTGAGAAGAACTCACTCTCTCTGTCACTCCGTGTTTACTTTTTATTCTTTTTTTTTTCATCCTCGTCTTCGTCTTCTCCACCATTTCTTCCATGGATCCCAGTAAAACTGAGGACGATCTCTTTCTCAATCATCATCCCCATGATCTGGACCCTTCTTCGATTCTGTCTCACCAAAACCACATTCACCCTTCCATTTCTAACCCTTCCGACGACCCTTCTTTTTCTCTCCCCGAAATCGTTCTCTTTCGCTCATCTTGCTCTGAGTCTCCGAGTCATTCCTCCCCTGACTCGCCCACCCATTCGCCGAGTCGTGTTCCGGGCTCTTCTTCCCCTAAAAACCCATCCCACCAACCCCTCTTTATCAGTCCAGAACCCCATATCTCCTCCCAGTTTTACACCTTCAATCCTGAGTCTCATGCCCTTATGATCCGCTGCATCCTTGAGCAGCGGCTCGCCACTCCCGTGGAGATCCGTGCTGCGACCCCTCGAGCCGTCCTCAAGTCATGGCGCGCTGTGTGGAAGGATCGAAATGAGGAGACGGCATACCTGACGGCTTGGAAGCGCATTCAAGACAAGCTCACGGCTCATGTTGATGAGAACGGTAACGAATTTCTTTGTTTCAAGAACAATTCCCAGCAATTCGTTTCACACATTAACCAATGGCAAGACATAGTAATGAGTTTTCATGGTGATACTGATTTAAAACATTTGGGGCTGAAGGAAACCATAGAGAGAATTAAGCAAGTTTGGACGGTAGGTGCCAAATTTTATGGAATCCCTGAAAGTTACATTAGGGTTTGTGTTGCTGCATGCCCGCTGTGTTCTGCAGCTTCATCTGGATCTGGAGCGAGAAGTAAGCGACGGAGGTTTGAGTATACTGAATCTTTTGATGTGCCCGCTAAAGAGGTTCCTGATAAGCTTCAACAGTTGGCTGTGAAGCATAAGGTGGTGCTTTGCATACGGCAGAAGTATATTAGGTATAAGCCTTTCATGGCTGAGGTAAAGGATTACGCTTGTCACCGAGCGGGCGAGCCAGCTGCGAAGAAATCAAAGCTTTTGAAAAGGGAACCATATGCGTCGAAGCGCTGTGGGTGTGGGTTTCGTATAAGGGCTATTGTGCCCATTGCAAACTATAATGAGAAAGACAAGACTTTTGTGTATCAAGAAGAGGGGAAAGCAGTGTTTAAGTTGTATGCAGTGCATTCTGGTCATGAGCCAGGACCATTGGATGGTAATGCCAGAATTATGCATCGGGTTGTTGGCCACAAAGGAGGCTATCATATGGATCAAGAGACGGTATTTGGGGTGAGTGATGACATGGAAAATGATAATTTTGGGTTGATAGGGAAAGACAAGGGAGATTTGCGATATTCTGTTTTGCAGCAGGTGCAGGAATTGAGAGCTGAAGTTGGAATGTTAGAAGGGAAAATTTCAAATATCCCACATGAGTTACTGGGTTTGGTCTCTCAAGAATTGTTTGATGTTGTGAATAGAATTAGAAATATAGGTGCAGGTTTGAAGCCAGTCGGATTGCTTTCTGATAAAGAACACACAGATGATGTTTTGGTTGGCGATAATGATTTGGCAAATTGGAATAATCATCATCATGAAAGGATTTATGGGGATGGCAAAGATACAGAGTTGATTGAGGATGATGAAGACAGTTTTGGCCGCACTCTAGGAGAAGTTATATCTTGGGACCAGATGAGGACAGATTGTAGAAGTCAGAAAGATCTAATGATCACGCCTTGTAAGCCTGAAAAGTGGTTAAAATGCGGTGATTTTGATGAAAAGAGCATGCTTGATTGTGAGGAAACTAAACTAACCAAGCCTGTCCAACATGATGATGCTATTGTGTCTGATGTTGGTCTTGGCTGTATACAGGTTGATAGTTTCTACCAGGAAAATCCTAAATGGTATGATTCTCCTCCATGTAGTTTGGATCCTGGTGCAGATTGTGGGGATAGTGGATTCCGTCATGAGGAGATTTTGTAGAGCCTTGAACGCCAGAAGTTCATCCACTCTAACTTAGTAATCAATTTATGTTGTGCCTATTTCCCCTTCAAACAGATGAAAGTGGGATTGTACATTTATGTATACGGAAGGTTGGAGCTGCATGCCTGGAAGTTTAGGTGTATTTACTGCATGTGGTTCTGTAAAGTATAACCAACCATGCTTCTCTTGCATATATCTTCATTATCACTAAATTTGTTAACCAAGATCTTGGTCTTCAGAGTTTCTAGCTTGGTCCTTTGTATAATGAACGTCAGTGTTTTCTGTAATCCATTTTGGAACTCAGAGATTCTTGTATGTATTAATGAGCAGCCATTGGCTTTTTAGTCCTACATTTATGTGTTGCATGAATGTCTCATGTGGCGTGTATCTGGCATACTGATTATTCATTTGCTATACGTATTTCAGCCTTTTGTTATATGTACAGAGATGTTTTGATCAATTTTTTTTTTTCTTGACTTTGGAAACTGCAATTATAATGTTTCAGGATGAGATGGTACCCCATAACATTATGGGGTTGTTTTAGAGCTTAGAGTTTATCTTGATCAATTTGTGCAAAATTTTGCTTATGCTAAATGGTTGATTGCAGGCTGTCCTTGAAAATTACTTTCAGTTCCACTCAGATCTGCATCCCTTTTAAAGGAATGTGATCCTCGAGGATTTTGGTATTCATTCATCATTTTCACTTCCAGTTATTTTATCACTATTAATATAAGTGGTCTAGACTCCACAATATGTCATTAGCCTTCGTCAATTTGCTGTACGTGTATCAAGATGCATAGCTATTTATAGATGTTCATGCTGACAATTGCTCTTGTATTGATTTGTATATCCTAGATTAGAATTTCTGGTTTAGGATATTTTTTAATTGATTTTGGCAACACTTGTATGCTAAAAATAAGATGGAGAGTTTGTTACAATTTTCTATACAAGTTTGGAAGACTTTTTTGTGCATCAATTTGTTTTCTGTGATGTGTCGATGACGAATTTTCTTAAAAATATTGTAGATATCGTCTATTGAACTTTAGTATCTCATCTCGATGAAACTGATACTGACAATGATATATTTGCAGTTTATGCTGGAAGGCCAGTTGACAGGATTTCTAGTGATTAAATGCAGTTTACTTTTAATACATTCATCTGTCAAGTAATACTCTTGTCTCATTTAACTGCATGTTATGACTTACGAGGATATTTTCCATTTGTTTCAGCAAGCTCAGCTTTGCAGATTTGTTTATTTGACCATTTTCAGGTTTAGTGTGAGTGTTTACATAAAGAATTTCGGAATTAAGAGAAAAGGAAAACTCAGCTCTAACCTTATACAGGCTTATTTGAAGCGCTGGTGCAGAATTTTGATATAGGATTGACTTTCTCTGGATATAAAGCCTCCCTAATGCTATGGATTTCTTTCTTGGTTGTGACTGATTAACATTTTAACCATTCACAGCCTTTGTGTTATGTGCGACTAATAATAGTTGTTAGGAATTCTATTTTTTTGCTAGGAAGGATTCTGGTAGAAATAGTTAGATGACCTCTGCTCACTGATGTAAAGAGTTGCGAATGAAATGAATTTTCTTTACGTTTTATCTGTACTAATTGGTGTTAGAGCTGAACAAAGCCCCTTTTATTCATGGGCCGTGGAAAGCAGCTAGTTTTCCAATATGAAAACATTAGAGCCACTCGATTGGAGATTGGGTTTAAATGAGACTCAAATCTGGACTGATGGAGTTGATAACCACTGCCAATATTTTCCTCGAAATTACTTAAACCATTAGGTGATATGTAAATATAATACAAAGGAGTGAGTTAGTTAGTATTAGTTACTAGGCCCTCCTTATACCAATGTTAAGGTATTGTAGAGAAATTAGAGGAGAGAGGAAGAAGACGAAATCTGGAAAGAAGAACGAGAGAGAGACAGAGGGAGAAGAGAGAGAGAGGTGGGTAACTTCATTCGCAAGTAACTAATACTAACTAACTCCCTCCTTTGTATTATATTTACATATCATGTTTGCAAATATTAGTTCGTGGATTTTATTAGGAATTCTGTCATTTTGTTAGAAAGGATTCTGGTAGAAGTTAGATGAGTAGTTAGCCTATTAATAAGGGATGAGCTGATGTTTAGAGCTTGAATGAATTCAATTGAACCGTGTCTCAATCTTCAATTTATCACTGTGTTGCATAGTTAAGATGAAAAAAGGAACCCATAGGTGGAAAACGGGGTAGTATAAGCAGTTCGAAAAATTTCTTACTCTTGATATAAGTGCTAGTTTGATTTATATTTTGGTTATAAAGATAAAACACTAATTTATTTTGTTTATTATATTTAATCATTTTTTCTTAAGGTAGTTTTTGTAGTAATGATAGTTCTAATTAATACACTTAATTAACAAAGATATTTTAAGAAAGATAATACTTATTTATTAAAAATGACTAACTTTTAAAATATACTCAAATTAGTTTATTAGTTTTTATATTAAGAAAGGTACTAATATAGTTAGAAGTATGAGATGAAAGTTAGTTATGAGGCATGTGGGTGGTGGTGTTTCCGCCAGTGAATCTTCTAATGATGCTTATAGGAAATACTTCTGTTTCCTCTGTTCATATATGGAGATTCCTTTCTTATTTCTCCCTTCTCTTTCCTCTGTTCCATCTGGTGCATCTTGCATTACTTTGCCACAGCTTAGCACACATTTTTTGACCATCCATTCTCAATTATATAGCATGTTATGAGGTAGGATTTCGGCAGGCCTTTCATACTCTAACCAATGGATAAGTATCAATTTCAATGTCCGCAATTTTTGACACGGTAGATTAGTGCGTTCTGAATAAATTTATCAGATAGCTTATTTTTGCATTCATGTTGATTAGTTAAATATTTTCTCAGTTCCCTTTCTATTTGGCAGTTTTAGTGTATATAAGCTTCTTATTTGTTGAAGCTAAGCACCTCATTAATATAAGAGCTATTTAAGAAAACATAAATTGTGTTTGTGTTTATTACAAATTTCATTTTAAACATGTTCGTTACTTTAACTTAAAAAAGGCTGAAGTATATGTTTAATTCTTCACATTTTCATAGGGTTTCAATTTAGTCCTTTAAAGAATCAAACATGTACTTTATCTTTTAAAAACTACTATGGTTGTACATATGTGTGTATAGATTTGGGTTATGCAAGAAACTCGAATTCCAGTCTGATTTGTCTTGAAGCAGTTCGGTCTGACCTAATGAGGCAATCAAATTTGCTAGACTGGACTAAGTCATCGAGTCAAACTGGGTTTTAGGCTGGCCATTATGACCTTGGTCTGTTCTAATGGAATCTTGGTTTTATGCTGCTTCTACAGCAGCTTTTCTTGTTCATCACTCTTAATTAAGTATTGACGATGTTCAAATCACCCTATAATCAAACACAAAGAAATCAAAATTATAATATGCAATATAATTCATTACCTTAACTACAAATAGATTAACAAAATTTAATTTGTGTTCCAAGGATTTTCTAGTATGTCAGTTGACCGAGAGAATGAAACTAATTATTATATTTTCGTAGTGCAAATAAAAATCAGTGTCTAATAATAACTACAAAATCATAAACCATTTAAGTTAAAACGTATTCTTTGCATATATATAGAATTTAAAATGGCTTACTCTTCAATAAGAGATGCAAGATAATACAGTTGCTTGATTAAGGTTATTGTGTTCATCACATATAACCTCCTCTAGACCTAAAATATTTTGGCGCTTCTACATTCTCTGTGGGCACATAAAACTGTATTTGTCCTCTAATCCCCTTTCTACCCTTTGAAACTAACATTGTACTTGTTTGAACAAGATCTTTTGGCCAAATAAAAAAATCCCCTTTTGCTTCGCCTACTGTACAAGTCTTGTCAGGAGGAAATGGCTCAAATGTATCTCCTGGATCATTACAGACTGTTTCCACTGCCACTTTGACTTGATTTTTCTTGATTGGCTGGTGATGGATTGTTGAACTAAGAGTGTTCATCTAACCATTAGAAAAAACGTGCATAGTGTGCTCCTAGCACAAGAGACTTTTTCGTCTTACGTGTTGTCAAGGTGTAGATTAGCTGGCGACAACTATGAGAACAAATTATTACTGTTCTTCATACTTTTAATTAGGAGGAACCCTGCAACTTTAAAAATGATTCAAGACATTAATAAAATATCTAAACATTGAAAGAACTAAGTGGCTATTAATTGCTTGGGAAGGACGATTAGGTCCTTGGCTTATTACATGTCATCATGCCTTTTTAGGCTATTATCTTTTGGAACTTGACAAAAAGTTCTGATTTCAACTTCTTCCATTCTTCTAGCATCTCTTCACACATCTTGAGTTGTTTCTGTTCATTCTCTTCCTTCAACTCAAATAGCACTTTACCTTTTTTTTTTTTGTGTTTCAACAACTCTTCAAGCTATCCTTTAGATTATGTTGATAATGCAGTAGTGCTGCGTGAATTGGCTCTAATGTATGCCTAAGACCAAGTCCTCTTTTGACACCTCAAACATGGCTAAGGTGGTCTGGCTTCCCGATTGCAATAGCCGAAAAATCCATTCTTCCGCTTGGAGTGAAGGAACCTTGGGTTGCTTGTTCCTTAAGTAAATCCTATAACATATAATGCAAGTTATAAATTTAACCATAAAATCCCACAAGTATATAAATTCATTTTTGTTACTTAAATTACTTACAATCCTTTTGTTTGTGATTCTGAGACGGCTTTTATAGGGGTGGATCATTAAGGTCTTATTGTGTAGCTTCTTATGCCTTCTTCAGCATGTTCTCATTCAATATCTTGTACCCACCATGAGAAAAGTATAACATCCTCCATTTTACCCTTTTTAGTACGCATTCAAAAGTGCTATGGTTCAGGCGAGTCCTTGATTTAACCCCATAAGTTAAAATCTTGCATTTTAATTCTTGGATTACTATTCATTTGGTAATTCTAGTTTTATGGTCTAACTTTAAAAATTCATAACTAAATATAGACAAATCATATGGAGATGGTTCAAGTCTCCATTTAAAGCCTTTTCACTTCTCCATATGAGAAAAATACCTTTTGGTTCATTCACTTGGTCATTCATTTTAGAAAATTGCACAAACTGCACTATTCATTTGGTAAAAATTGTACTGACCAGATTTCTTATCTTAATTTTCAAAATTCATAACTTTTAACGTACACATCCTCTTGAAGTTATATACCACTTCATTTAAGCTCAGCCAAATTTCATGAGCAAATTTGATCATTTTTCTTGTCCAAAGTGCTGTCACAATTTTGCAACTCTAAAAGTACCTTTTTCATCCTGAACTAATCAAACATTTAAATTATGTTGACCAGCAAAG